CAAAAAATAAATAAATAAAACTAGCTCCACCCCCACAAAAAAAAAGAATTCAAGAAATAGTATGAAGAAAAAAAAACACCATTCCTCAATGGGAGAGACAAGGGCTGTAAACAATCATCACATCTCAAAATGTCTATTTTACTCCAATACATTACATTTTAGGTACTCTATTAGTTACCTCAGATTAGGGAAAACATATGATATCTGTCTTTTGGGTACTGGTTTATTTCACTAAGTATAATGGTTTCCCATTGAGTCCATCTTGTTGCAAAAAAAAAAAAAAGAATTTCATTTTTTTACATCTGAATAGTCCTCCATATTGTATATATACCATAATTTCTATATCCAGTCAACAGTTGGAACACATCTTATTTTGCAGATTAATAGACAAATGTAGATTGCTATCCTTGTACTGAATAAGTCTCATTTAGTAAAAATAATTATAAATGAAAAAATATCAGTTTATTCTGTGTATAGCTTATATATTTAAAGAAACATAGAGTTAGCACTGCTGTTGTACAGAAGGAAAACCCCCTAGACTTGCAGGTTTCTCTGGATGAGCAGGCTCCACTAGTGAGAATGGCATCATTGCTTTGGCATTTGTTGAGCTAACAGAATATTCAAAAAGCAGTTCTCTATCTTTGGGTTTAAGAGATGGGAGTCTCCTGTCCTCTGACTCAATTCCCACCCCATCACAACAACACCCAACAACATCTGCTCTTATCACTCCCTTAGACAGTGAACCTTGGCCCACACTGCATTGTCTTGTCCTGTTAAACCCCTGCTTTAATAATGGCCTTTCAACTTAGTCAGTGGTTCATCCACATTCTAGGGCTCTCATCACATTTACCTGCAGTCATCATCCATAACAGTGACTGGCAAGCACTCATTCCAAGGTTTATCCAGTGGCTCACCTTTGCAGAAGCTGTTCTCAGGGTGCTACACCTTTGCTGGATAAAATCAAGTAGCCATTTGACTTGATGCCACACCCATGTGCTATAGCAAAGGAATGATTTACATATAATAAAAGATAAAAATCAAGAATATACAGCTGGGTTTTTACATATGTATACATTCATGTGACCAGAACCCAGATCAAGATATCAGACTTTCCATTTTCCAGGAAGTTCTTGAGCCCCTTCCCAGTAAGCCCCCTGAGGATAACTGATACTCTGATTTCCATTACCCAGGAGAGATAGATGATTAATAATAACTAGGAATATTTGGTAAAGCTAAACTTAGTATTTGATGAACTTAAAAGTTTCATGTGTTTGGAAGGTTTGGAGCCCTCTTTATTTTCTATAAGGCATTCTTTTATTGGTATCTTAAAAACCAATATCTGAAATATGAAGCATGTAGTTACAACACCAACTTTACTTTTTTAAATGTTATTTAATCACCTAATGGTTTTATTTCCAGATTAGAGTTTTTTAACATTTATTATGCCTTCAAGAAATACTTTTCACCCTTATAAAGATTGCCTGAAATGTCAAGTTGAAACAAACAGCAAAAATTTAAGTTTTGAACATTCAAGTAAAGTTTTTTGGGCCAATTTTAAAATAAATTTACCTTGTCCTTCTTTGTATAGTCTACAAGAGAAAGCAAATAATTTTAGCCTTTAGCACTGCTAAACGGTAATAATTCAAGCATCATTTAACCACTCGGGTTGTTTCTGTCGGAAGTAGTAGCAATTGATGTTCGGACAACCTTTTTGTTATCAAATTATCAAATTTTTAAATGTCAGACTCTTGAACAAATGTGATGTAACAAGATGTTTCTTTTGTTGCAGAGAAAAATTTTGACATTACTATAAAGATTAATAACGTCAAAGAGCAGCAGTTAACTTGTTTTTCCCCAACTCCAAGAAAGTTCTGAGTTTAAACAGAATTTTAAATTTAAACACAACTGGAAATTTACAAATTATGAGTTTTAAACATCCTTGCTTTTGAAATTTTCTTTCTGCAAATATGTTACCTCACAACAATGTATGCTTATATTGCTTTCTTTTTTTATTTTTTTAACTTTTATTTAATGAATATAAATTTCCAAAGAACAGCTTATGGATTACAATGGCTTTTTCCCCCCAGTAACTTCCCTCCCACCCGCAACCCTCCCATCTCCCACTCCCTCTCCCATACCATTCACATCAAGATTCATTTTCAATTTTCTTTATATACAGAAGGTCAAAGCTGCTCAGTAAAAAGCAAACCAAATATATAATTTTATATTTCCCAGTAACTATATCTGAAAAGTTTGTGATATATTAAGATGTCTCAATTTATAGAGACTTTTAAGAGGTAACATTTAAAAATCTTAGAAACACATCTTAAAAAAATGAAAAATCCCATGACTATGTGATCTAACAATGTCACTATTGCAAGTATAACCAATGGTGATGAAATCAGTATGTCAAAGAGACATCTGTACACCCATATTCATTGCAATACTATTCACAATAACCAAGGTATGGAATCAACCTAAGGGTTCACCAGTAGATGAGTGGATAAAGATGTTGTTTATGAGTAAATACCCAACAAAAATACTTTTTTAGCCTTAAAAATAAGGAAATCTTATCATTTGTAGTAATATAGGTGAACTTGGAGAACATTATGTCAAGTGGAATAAGCCAGGCCTGGCAAGGGAAATACCAACTCATCTCACTTATATTTGGAATCTAAAAACATTGAACCCACAGAAGCAGACATTAGAATGGTGGTTACCAGGCACAGAATGAAGAGCAACTTAGGATGGTTAGGAAATATTGACTGAAGGATACAATATCTCAGAGATAGGAATAAGTTCAAGAAGTCTATTGTACAACATGATGTCTAAAGAATATATTCTTGAAAATTACAAAAGTAAAATTACATTTGAGACTTGCAAAAAGAAATAGGCACAGATTCCTTATGAATAAACTATATGTACTGAAGTAATCCAATATCTAATGGTTTCATTAAGAATTTTAAGATACTATTGAAAATATTGTATCATTCCTAAAATGCTTCTTTTTGACTATAATCTATGTAAATATAATCAAAACTATAACCATGCCAATTTCAGAAATTTCAGCCGTAAAGAAACTAAACCAACTCAAGCATAAGCCCCAACCATGCCCCTATTTCTGCTTTTTCACTCATCCTTTATATGCAAAAGCAGTTAGACGTCTTTATAGTGATCATAATTCAGGAGAAGCTGGCTACCCTATGCTAAAAGTTTCCACTCTATAAATGTCCATTTCTTTAGCCAAATCAAGGACTACCATTCCCAGGGAAAGAATTTGGTGCATCAATTAAACCACTGCTTGGGATGCCTGTATCCCATATAGAAGCACCTGGGTTCTATTCCCCTCTCTACATTCTGGGAGGTAGCAAGTGAAGACTTAAGTACTTGGATCCCTGCCACCTACTTGGGAGACCCACAGTGAGTTTCTGACTCTTGACTTTGGCTTGGCCCATTCCTGGCTGTTGTAGCATTTGGGGAGTGCACCAGTGGATGGGAGATCTGTGTTCCTGCCTTTCAACTAAATAATGAAAGAGATAGAGATAGAGATAGAGATAGAGAGAGAGAGAGAGAGAGAGAGAGGAGATTATCATTACCTATCCATAGACACACAGCACTTTGCCTTCTGGCAATCTGATTTACCTTCCCTCATCTAAATGGGTCCAGCAGCTAGTTTTCATACCTCCTTTCTCCCTGCTCTGGACAGCGTAGAGGAAAGAGGCAGTTGAATAATTGGGACTGGCTGATCTAGGCTGGCCTCAGCAAGTATGACCCTCCAGCTGACTAGCTGAAGCTGCCTGGAATAAATAGCCAGGGGAAAGTAAGTAGTAACTGGCAAGACATCTTGAGGCTGAGACTCCAAATTGATATAATGTCACTCCACCTTAATCTACCTCCTCTTGACCAAGCAAACCACATGACCATCTGAATGCAGGGTAGGAGACACAGGTCACACCACCTCCAGACACAAAGGAACTGCACAGTCACATTGAACTGGGAAAGGGATAACTTTGCCCATGATGCAGGCAATGTGTCATGGAAACTAATGTCAAACTCAATTGGACCCTGTGTTGTACAACCTAATGAATATGCCTTCTTTCACTACTGTATGTCTGTCTGTGTCTCCTGAAATACTGAAAAATAAAACATTTGTTCATGCAAAAGTTTTTCAAAACGGTAATGGAAAATAGAATTAAAAGAATGGCTTATTTTGAAGCAAACTATGAAATCCATGCACATGTAGGATTTTTAAAGTCTGTGGGAAATGTGCATTACACAAAAACTATGTATGAATTTCAAAACAAAATTTTCACCAAAATGAACTTTATCTTTTTCTTCCATTTTCCATGAACTTTTTGAAGTTTACTTGTATGTGGTTACACTCTCATTGATATCTAAAATTCAAGCTGATGGCAGTCCTAGTCACAGCACTCTATCTTGGGCTTTTGGTGCCATTTTTTTTTCCCACCTGGAACTCCATCCAGGCTCCCCATGTGGGCTGCAGGGACCCAAGTACTTGTGGGCCATCTTCTGCTCCTTTCCCAGGTGCATTGCCGGGGAGCTGGACAGGAAGCACGGCAGCCAGGGCTCAAACCAGCACTCCAACATGGATGCCAGCAGCACACACAGCAGCTTAACCTGCTGTGCTACAACACTGGGTCCCCCGGGTCATTTATTCTACCGCAACATTATCAGTGTCTGTCTGGTTCATATCTTTCATATCTCAGATTGCTCCTGTCTTATCCCAGGGCTGCTGTGTATGTCCTGGTCAATGCCAGCTATTGAGAATTAGATTGCACTCAGTCAATAGGAAAACCAAGATAAAGTCTGTCCTTGTTTATTGCTAACTCTTATTCTAGGTCAGCATTCTACTTCTTTATAGTCATTATTATTATGATATATTAGGGTAAGCCAGCATATTAATCCTTACATCTTGGCAAAGATGCTCAAAAAATAAGATTTTTTTCTCTCACTAAATATTGAATGTGAATTTTCTTTACCAGAGTGGCTTTAAGTGATAGAAAATCCATCTCATGCCTCTGCATTCCATATTGACTGTTATCCTGCTAGATCTTCTCCAGCCATCTAGAAACAAAGAAGAAAGGGCATTTCTTTGTAACTTAGCCCTGACAGCCATGCACATCACATCTTGCTCACATTTCATGGATGAGAACTGTCTCAGGGCCCTATCTAGATGCAAAGATTATGGTCCCTGCTTGGAACAGCTTTGAAGCAACAGCTCGATGCTATGAGAATGGAGCATGTGTCTTTTGGGACCACCCAACATGTCTTCCACAATGATCAAGAATGTTGATGCCCATCCCCATTGGCTAATGAGAAGGGGACACTATATGACTTTACTTTTAATTTTTGAGACATTGATATTTATTTATTAGAGAGTGAGCATGAGCACACACTGGCTCCCATTCACTGGTTCGCTCCCTAAATGCCTGTAATGGTCCCCAGCTAAGCCAAAGCCAAGAACTGGAAATTCAGTCCAAATCTCCCATGTAGGTGGCAAAACCCGATTTCTTAAGCCATTGCCACTGGTTCCCAGGTTGTGCAAGGAAGCCAGAGCCAAGTACTCAAGTACTGATATGAGATGCCTCCATCTTAATAAGAATCTTAATCACCAGGCTAAATGCCTATTCCACTTTATTTTTTTAACTTTTATTTAATAAATGTAAATTTTCAAAGTACAGCTTTTGGATTACAGTGGCTTCTTCCCCCGCATAACTTCCCTCCCACCTGCAACCCTCCCATCTCCCACTCCCTCTCCCATACCATTCACATCAAGATTCATTTTCAATTATCTTTATATACAGAAGGTCAAATTAGTATATATTAGCTAAAGATTTCAAGAGTTTGCACCCACACAGAAATACAAAGTGTAAAGTATTGTTTGAGTACTAGTTATACCATTAATTCACATTGTACAACACATTAAGGACAGAGAACCTACATGGGGAGTAAGTGCACAGTGACTCCTGTTGTTGATTTAACAATTGACACTCTTTGTTTATGGTGTCAGTAATCATCCAAGGCTCATCATGAGTTGTCAAGGATATGGAAGCCTTTTGAGTCACCAACTCTAATCTTATTTCAACAAGGCCATAGTCAAAGTGGAAGTTCTCTCCTCCCTTCAGAGAAAGGTACCTCCTTCTTTGATGGCCTGTTCTTTCTGCTGGGATCTCACTCATAGAGATCTTTCATTTAGGTCTTTTTTTTTTTTTGGCCAGAGTGTCTTGGCTTTCCATGCCTGAGAAATTCTCATGGGCTTTTTAGCCAGATCCGCATGCCTTAAGGGCTGATTCTGAGGCCAGAGTGCTGTTTAGGACATCTGCCATTCTATGAGTCTGCTGTGTATCCAGCTTCCCAAGTAGGATCCTTCTCTCCTTTGTAATTCTATCAGTTAGTATTAGCAGACACTAGTCTTATGTATGTGATCCCTTTGAGTCCTAATCCTATCATTATGATCAATTGTGAACTGAAACTGATCACTTGGACTAGTGAGATGGCATTGGTACATGCAACCTTGATGGGATTGAATTGGAATCCCCTGGCATGTTTCTAACTCTACCATTTGGGGCAAGTCCAGTTGAGCATGTATCAAATTGTACATCTCCTCCCTCTCTTATTCCCACTCTTATATTTAACAGGGATCACTTTTCAGTTAATTTTAAACGCCTAAGAATAATTGTGTGTTAATTAAAGAGTTCAATCAATAGTATTAAGTAGAACAAAAAAATACTAAAAACGATAAAGTATTAAGTTGTTCATGGACAGTCAGGACAAGGGCTGATCAAGTCATTGTTTCTCATGGTATCCATTTCACTTCCACAGGTTTCCTTTTAGGTGCTCAGTTAGTTGTCACCAATCAAAGAGAACATAAAATATTTGTCCCTTTGGGACTGGCTTATTTCACTCAGCATGATGTGTTCCAGATTCCTCCATTTTGTTGCAAATGACCAGATTTCATTTTTTTTACTGCTGTATAGTATTCTATAGAGTACATATCCCATAATTTCTTTATCCAGTCTTCTGTTGATGGGCATTTAGGTTGATTCCAGGTCTTAGCTATTGTGAATTGAGCTGCAATAAACATTAAGGTGCAAACAGCTCTTTTGTTTGCCAATTTAATTTCCTTTGGGTAAATTCTAAGGAGTGGGATGGCTGGGTTGTATGGTAGGGTTATATTCAGGTTTCTGAGGAATCTCCAAACTGACTTCCATAGTGGCTTTACCAGTTTGCATTCCCACCAACAGTAGGTTAGTGTGAAATATGTCATGTACCTAGAAGATGTATTGGATACCTCTTGCCTGCATCTCATATGTTTTAGTCAAACATATCTTACTCTAGTCATTGCTGAGCCAACCTGCTGTTCACCACAAGTAATAGCACTTGTCTCTGATTTCTAAGATGATAGTTTCTTAACTTTCACCTGTGGGATGCCTGTAGCTGCTCCCTCGGCCATTCCAAGAGGACATGCGAGCAGGTAGATGAATGTTTCTATCTTCATTCCCTAGAGTAATTGGTTCTGACACACAGTTTTCAACAGTTCTACAGAACTGAGCCCCCACTGACCACAAATAACATCACTGAACTGGCATTCCCTCTTCCACATTATACTCTCCCCATTATTCCTGACCTTGCATTTCAAGAGAAACTACTCATGGTCAGGCCTCTACATTCAGGAAATGCAGGCTAAGATATGAACACAGCAATTGCAACTTTTAAAGAATAATTACATTTGCTCTGTTTGCTACCCAAGTTAAGAAATAGATGATCAAATCTTGTATCATAGTACTCCCTGCACCTAGAAACAATTTTTATTTGACTAAATGAATATATTAATGAGCAGAGACACTTCTGTAGACCTCACTGCTACCTAGACAACAAACCAGGAAACAGCAAATAATAGTTTAATTCCCAGCTACACTACTCATGACCTCAAACTGACTTTAAAATGGACATAAAACACTTCTGATAAAACAATTCAACTATAACTCAGCTACTTTAGGTTCAATCAAGAACCTGGTCAGTAAACTCCTTATGTTCCTTTTGCTGAGTTAACAATAAATAGAAAGTCATCTTTGGGAATTATCCTTATGTGGAAATGATGTTGTCCTATTTTAGAAGGCAGAGAAAATGGCTAATAATAGAACATTTTACAAATAACTTAATTAGAAAATCATGTTTTCTACAAAATTTACAAAAACCTTTCTTAAATATATTATACTTTCTTGTAATGGAGGCAAACCACAGCAATATTTTTAGTTGGCAAAGGAACTGGCTTATTCAGATTCCATATGATTATAATATGATTTGTTAAGGAATTTTATGGTTGAATACTCAGCTATACTCTGAGATAGTCTGCTGGAATTGTCAAACTTCCCAGGGACATGGGATTTGCAGATAGTCATCCAATTAGCACCACTGCTAGTAGTTACCAAAAAATAAATAAATAAATAAATAAAAAAGAGTATACAAACAAAGCAGAAAGAAAATAAATGAGAAGTCTTACAATGTTATAAAATCAAACCAAGAGCTAGCCTTTATTCCCATACAGATCCAAGCATGATTTTGTCTCAGAAATTTCCAGCACTCCACCTTAATAAAGCTACAGGAACTGGTTCTCTACAAACACTGTAAGAATCTAAATAGATGCTAAAAAGTAGATACTTTCTACTCAGTCTTGGCTTATACTTGAATCATAAGACTATTTGCCTTATTAACCTCCAGAAAAGTGTTTACCCAGAAAGACAAAATGAAATACATCCTTGAGGTACAGAGAAGATATTGTTTTTGAAAAAGAAATGTGAGGTCTTATTAGGGCAAAGCTGTTAATTACACACTTCATTATTGTCAAGGTTAATACAGTCTATGAGAGCAAAGGTACTTTTTCATCTCTTCCCTGAGAACAAGGAGAGACAGCTGTTCTCACACAGATCCATTACGGCTTATCACCAGCCGGCAGCCTGCAGAAGAGCACCATGAAATATGGCCGCTGTCACTGGAAGCCAGAGCTGACGCCAAGTTAGTCCAGCATACAATGGAAAGACAACAAGAACTGTGGCTTCAAACGCAAATAGATTGGGTTGCATTGATTTTTAATGCCTGGAGGTTCTGTGGTATAAAATTCACCTATACTCTTGCAGTTATTGTATTATTGATCTCTCTAAAACTGCACAGTCTTGCATTAATAAACATCAGATGCTGACAGTAATAAATAGTAGACCTTCCTTCCATTCTGAAGCCTATGTAAACGGTGTTGGAAAATTCTGCATGTTTCGATTTTATTGTTAGTGCTTCACTTATGATTCCATAAGTGAAACTCGTGTCAGCAAAACAAATATTGCCTTGGTTCTGCTTTAACTAGTATGCTGGATCAAATAAAGTTATAGGATTCTTCTCTTTTACTTTTTTGGGCCGGGCAATAATTTTTTTTAGCAAACATTCATATTTTTCGAGCCCCTACTTGTTAACACTGAGTATTTGTACCAGAGGAAAGCATGTGGATCCTCTAAGAGTAATATATTTATACCACCCACTTGGATTTTCTCTTTCTTAAGATTTTTTTTTATTTGAAAGGCAGAGTGAAGAGAGGGAGAGGCAGACCTTCTGTGCCCTACACCAGGGGGGACTATTAGGTCCGTTATGAAGTTCCATGCCCAGGAAGCTTTCCACCCAGCTATACCCCAGAAAGGACTGGGGTGGGGAGGGCAGTTGAAAAGCTGGTCCATACCTATATCTGTGAGATTGAAATTATGTATTTGCGAAACTTTTAAAAAGGAAGGAAGGAAGGAAAGAGGCAGATTGAGGGAGGAAGGGCATTATGGTTATCTTCTTAGAATTGTACCTATGAAATACTTGAAATCTGTTCTCTTTATATTAAGAATTAAAATTTTAAAAATCCAGTGTGAAAACAAACTGTGCTCTCAGTCTTTTACTAACATGCCTGGTCTGTCAGGTGTACTCACTTCATTATTTCTCTTCATTAAATTTTCCTGCATGCTTATTGCCTAAAGAAAAGAAAAAGATCTATGACCATACTGCCTTGAAAGTGGCCTATCTCATCTGATCTTGGAAGCTACCAAATGCACACAATAGCCAGGACTACACCAGTCAGAAACCAGGATTCAGGAGCTCCATCCAGGTCTCCCACATGCGTGGCATGAACTCAAATACTTGGGCCATCAACCACTGCTTTCTAGATCCATTAGCAGGAAACACAGAGCAGTCTGGACTCCAACCACGCACTCTAATGTAGGATGCAGGTATCCATCCCAAAGAACAGCTTAACCCACTGTACCACAATGTCCACAACACAAACATCTTTAAAGGCTAAAAATGAGATGTAAGAAAAGATCATGCCTTAGTTAGAAAATGCTTTGATTTCTTTGTATTTTTGTTTGTTTGTTTTTGTTTTGTATTGTTTTGGTTTTTTTTTCACTATAGATAAATTAGAATGTCATCTTTTCAGATGTCTGAAACTATACCTTTACTTTGGTGGTACCCACGTTCTATCCTAATCTTAGGAGTTATATCTTCATAGTAAGACCATGATACTAAAGAAGTAGGTGTGCAAATATGGTGAATTCTGTTAAGACAAAATGGTAAAATATTTTTAAGGGCATTGTTTTGTTCAAACATAAGAAACACTCACCTGCATAGGGAAAGGGAAAATGGTGAACAGTGTACCACTCAAAACCAACTATAATATCAAGTAACTTTAGCACTATGTGTGTGCATATTTAACATTAAATGAGAGTACTTAATGGAAAATGGAATTAAAACACAAGTTTATTTTGATGCAAAATATTTTAAAATATGTGCAATTTTTTCACAGTACACATTTTCCATGAATTTTTCAAAGACCTGTATATAGATACAGATGGACAAATATAATTATAGGCACGTGAGTATTTATGGGTTAGAATGCAAACTGTATTTCCTAGCTCTGTTATGGGAAGACCTGAAAGCAATGACACTCCAGTAGAAATGGGTATACCCTGAATTCAGCTCTTCATTTCTCTTACCATTCTCCAATAAAAGGGCTCGTTATAAGACACGGACAGGGGAAAATATAAGATGAAGCTGGACCTTTTGGTAATGATAACAAGTAAAGAAGTGCCCCAAAAATAAAAGCAAAGAGAATTGTGTCAAAAGGACACAGCAGCCTTCCTCAATGAATTCCCAGTGACAAAAGCTGGAACTATTTAAGCAACAAAACAAATAGTCTAATCTTGGATTATAACTCAAAGTATAAAATAAATATGCATCCATCCACCCATACTGATTAAGAATTGATTGAATAAATTGAAAGGAGGGGATAATAACCAAGTCTTCTATGGAAAAGAATTCCAAGTACTTTATGTAGTACTCTTCCCAAGGAAGTAGAGTTTAAGGCCCCAACCCCTTGACACAGTGACTTGCTTCCAAAGAATGCATCATGGAAAGGAGGGAAGAGGAAGTGTAACTTTGTGGTGTAGAAACCCAGCAAGCACATCACCAATCTGATAAAAGTTAACATCATCAGTAATGAGCCACATTGACATGGATATGATAAGATGAACCTGCTACTTTACTCTGCAGCCCTCTTCCCCAAAACCCAGAGCCCAAGTTTAACGATGAGAAAAACATTAGACAAATCCATTTGAGAGACATTCTGCAAAGTACCTGACCAGAACTGCTCAAAACTATCAAGGACATCAGAACGAACAAGTCTGAGAAACTGTCACAGAGCAGAGGAAACTTAGGAGACATAATAAATCAATGCAATGAGTGAGCCTGGATGGGACCCTGGAGACCTAGGTAAAAATCTACAAAAACATGGAGTTTTGCTGATAGTAGCACAAGATGTTACAATAGGGGGAACTGGAGCAAGGCTCTCTGAGAATGATGTATTTTCTTTGCAACTTCTATGTGAATCCAAAACTATTCTAGAATTAAAATTTTGTCTAAAAGAAAAGAGTGTAAACCATAAGTATTAGCCTAGGAATGTCTGGGGGAGTAAATAGAACCTTGCATGAATTGTTTGAGAGGCACTGATCTAAAGAACATAAGCTCTAGGACAGCTCAGAGTTATTCCTCCAGCCTGAATGCTCATAACATCCTAACTGAAAAGGGTTTAAACTCACTGCTTGCTCAAATGCATTTTTCTTTTAAAATCCTGGAAGGCTGAAGTCACAACACTTTGTTCTTTGTTCTTTTATCCGCCCCCATGGTATTTTGCAGCAAACCTTGTCATTGTCAAGGCACAGCTGACTGGCTCTGTAAGAGCTTTGCTATTTCTTTCTGTTCCTGGTGTTCTGGTGTTATTTAGGTTCATTAAAAGGAACATTGGGCTTGGCGATGTCTCATTTAGATCTAGTTACAACCACGTCATTACCAAACCATCCAAAATTCAGCAATGGTGTTCTGCAGAAGTATGACCATAGCAAGCATTACAGTTATATGCTTAATAAGAATGTCAAATTTGGTCACAAATTAGATCACACAAGTAATCTTCCTGTTGTTGCTTCAGTTTTAGAAAGTCTCTTCCTCTTCTATAGAATCCCATAACCTCAATTAATAGATGTCTCCCATAAAAAGGGTGAAAAAACTGCATATTAATATAGCTATGTTAATATTCACATAACAATGCATACTTAATAGTTTTCAAACCATCTGAATAATGAATATAAAATATAATATGTTTTATATAAACAGTTATATACTGTCAAACTTATAATCATCAGCTCACTGTTAGATGGTTGCAGTTAATCATTTAGGAAGAAGAATAGAGGGAAGAAATTTGCTCTAAATTTGTAAATAAGACAGTGACAGTCTACATAGTCTTCTAAATGGCTTTTTATGTTTAATCTTTTTATTTAGATAGGTAAGAAAAATTTTGCAATTTGAAATTATTGTTTAATATTTGATTTATTTCATCACAGAATTCAATCAGTAACCCTTTCTTCACCGTGTGTGTGTGTGTGTGTGTGTGTGAAATGTTCTCCATGGTTTAACCTGGATGGAGTGGGGGTGCAATTCCTCCAATCATCTGAAAGCATGGAATGTTTTATTTAAACATTGCTGCTTTTATTATTCCCAGACAATCGTCAGAGGAAACAAACCCTGCAAGGAAACCTCCATCAACGGCCTGCTGGAGGATTTCGACAATATCTCGGTGACTCGCTCTAATTCGCTAAGGAAAGAAAGCCCTCCTACCCCGGATCAGGGAGCCTCTAGCCATGGTCAGGGCCATTCGGAAGAAAACGGCTTCATCACCTTCTCACAGTACTCCAGCGAATCCGATACCACTGTAGACTACGTGACCGAAAAGTACAGAGAAAAGAGTCTCTACGGAGACGAGTTGGATCCGTACTACAAAGGCAGCCATGTGACCAAGCAAAACGGACACATGATGAGGATGAAGCACGGGGAGGCCTACTATTCCGAGATGAAACCTGTGAAAGGTGATATTGCCAGATTTCCTGTCGATTATCACGCTCATTTGGACTCGCTGAGCAAACCAAGCGACTATGGTGATCTCAAGTGGGAGTACCAGCGAGCCTCAAGCAGCTCCCCTCTGGATTACCCTTTCCAGTTCACGCCTTCTAGAACTGCGGGGACCAGCAGGTGCTCCAAGGAGAGTCTGGCCTATAGCGAAAGTGAGTGGGCACCGAGCCTGGAGGACTACGACAGGAGGCCGAAGTCGTCCTACATGAACCAGACGAGTCCTCAGCCGGCCATGCGGCAGAGGTCCCGGTCAGGTTCAGGGCTCCAGGAACCCATGATGCCCTTCGGAGCAAGTGCATTTAAAACCCATCCCCAAGGACACTCGTACAACTCCTACACCTACCCTCGCTTGTCGGAGCCCACCATGTGCTTTCCAAAGGTAACACTGCCCTTTCCCCTCAAGTGTGTGAGAACCTCCGGGAGATGGTGCCAGTTCCACCTTCTAGTACAGATTCTAAAGTGCTGGTTTGCTTCTTTAGTGAGAATTTACATTGAACTCCTACATTATTTAGACCCATGAGCGCCAAGGGCAGATAATACAGGTCATGTATATTTATTAAAATCAAAATCTGTCTTTTGGGACATCCTATAGGATTTCTCATTAAGAAAGAAAGACAAGTTTATTTATTTACTTGAAAGATGTTCTGAAATATGAATGATAAACATTATATGATCATATTTTACTAAGTTCTAGTAAATGAGTGTAAGCCATCAGATGGAATGATGTGGTGGTTCTCGTTTTCCAGCAGAGGTTACATGGATCCCCAAAAGAGAATAAAATAATAATAGGAGAAGATGATAAGTTTCTAATAAAGTTAATGTTATTCAATTGAGGTGACAGAAGTTCAATTTGAGAGTATGCCCTTCCTATTTTTTTATTTTGAAACACAATTTTTGTATGAAATTTTCAGATAAGAGATTGTAATTGGTTGCTGCATCTTTTTAGCATGCTTTTTTAAAAATTTTGTTGTTGTTATTCTTCTGTTGATCATTTTTTTAAAGAAACAGTAGTTGTTGGCAATTTACTTTGCAATTTGCATGGTGCATAATATCCCATAGTCTAAAAACCACTATCAGAAAAAGCTACTGAACTTCTGACTTTGCTAGGAAGCGAATGTTTTGGAGAGGGTGCAAAGTGTTGATTTTTCCATAGTAACTGCCTCACCTGTACAGCAGAAATAAAAATGAGTATTTGGTGGAAGACTGTCAATTATGCAGAAGTCACAAACCAGTTCAAAATAACATGACTTCCAACAGTGCAGTTGTGTACATTTTTACCCAAGTGCTCTCTCTACAATGGCTTAATGGCCAGCACCACAAACTGCCTGTATTCATCTGCTTTATTGATTGTAGATAATCAGTAATTTTCCATTGCTTATTGTTTCTCAAAACCTAATCCAGATGTTGAAAAGAAGACAGTTAGGAACATCATGGAAGTAGCTAAAGGCATACTTTAAAAAAAATACTATCACTTTAGTTTCAAAGATATAAAATTCAAAATAAGTCCTAGTTAAAATTGAAAGAATGACAATACTTTTCTTCTGATTGAATTAAGTATTTGAACATCTGCAGTCAGGGTGTCATGACTACTTTCACTTCCAGTGTTCCTTCCAGTACAATAGTTGGAAAGAGGTTTAATTAACGAACAGAAAAAAGCGTAAGGAGACTTCTATATGTATCATAACACATTAGATAGTTCATTCAATATCCTGTGCATATCACTGCCTGTGAGTACCATGACAAAGGGAACCCCTGCATAGTCCTAGAATGAAATAAACATATTATCCTAGTAGTGTTGAATTGAGTTATATCCTGAGTCTTCAATAATTAGTTCTAATTTTGTCTAGGAGCAGAGAATATGATTTTGTGTGTGTGGTATATTTAAACACATATATTAAGCTAGTTTTGGTGTAGCCATAGAGACAATATTGCTCAGAGGAAGCAACCTTTGAGTTCTGCAGTCATATTTGTCCCACTGACAGGTGTGGATGAAGTAATATTAATTTCCAACACCTAGGAAACCCAATATTAATTTCCAACTCTAGAATTCAATTAGAAGTCTCCATCTCTGGAGTTGAGCAGCAGTGGGGTGATCCAGCATTGCTGGGTCCCTAGTTTCACAAATCATTGGGAATAGAATCAGCTGGAGGTAAAGGTTGCCCCTTTAGAGGATACATGAGCTCTACAGATGGGCACAGGCACTCTACTGCCCATTTTATTCATGTTTCCCATTGGTCCAATCTCCAGAAGCTTTTGGGATTTACTATCAACTCCAGTAATCTCTGCCCACTTGTTTCCCAGAAGGGGAAACTGAAATCCAGGTTACATCTCACTCTTACGGTTTCATAGTCAATTGGTTGCAAAGTAAGGACAAGAATTCAAGTCTGGTGTTTCTCCCAGTCTAGCACTTTCCCATTATATGGACATATGTTATTTCAAGGATTCAGTTGTATTTGCTGGTAAAATTTGTGAGATCCTGGTGGTCACCACAACTTTAGGCTAAGTGGAAGAAGAACAAAGGAAGGAGGGAGGGTTACTTCATTTCTTGTAGACCCCTTTTTCTATAGACTTCCAAATGCAAGACAGATCTGAAATCTGGCTTTGTCAAACCCAGAATCAATGGAGAAACCATATGGCTCAGGAAAAGGAACAGCACATTCCCCCATGAGAATGTCTACCAGGAGTTTCTCAGCCTTTTATAATCAGGACTCCAAAGGAGCAAGCCACTGTTTCATGTTTCACAGGAAACTCATGAGAAATTCATGAGCAGTTTTTAGGGAAGGGTAGGAGGTGGGAAGCATGTTAGTAATTAAAACATCTACTTGATTAAAAATATAACAGCTCTCTAAAAACAGTTAGGTGCCTGCGTCTTTAGAACTGTTCTCTTAAAAATCTACCAATCACATTTGTGCTTCCAGATGAGGGAAGAAATAGCAATCACGACTCAGATAATTTGGCTTTGCCTTATGGAAAATTCTAGAAGAGGGTGGGTATGTTCTGATCTCCAATAGTAAAAAAAAGCACAAAACTTGGGTAGGTCTAAAGAAGGAACGAGCATACAAATGCATGCCTCTGTGTGTGTGTATATTGAACTTCACTTTAGCATTTTGACCTGAAGGAGGGAAAATGGTACTTTAACCCACAGTGAAAATCTTCTCCAATGTTATCTACCTCCCTAATTTTCCTATTATCCTGACAAGAATCAAGAATGTTATAAAATCGGTTGATATTAGTATCTACGCCCTACTTGTAATTTTTTTTATGTACCTCAGCAGATGAAAGCGTGGGTCAGGGGGACTGCCACGTGTGCAGAGTCCCCTCCCCGACCCCAGTCACATCTACCTCACAGGCAGGGAAACTGGCTAGAGATACTGTCACCAAGTATTTGATATTCTTCCTGACAGTTCTTCCTTGCAATGAGGCAGCTGCCAACTCCTTGGTTCTGGACCCTCATTTTCATTCCTTGTTCTGACTGCAACCACTGGGAACCCCCAAACATAATAACAATTCTGCCAGTTCATTTAGCACTTACTGAGTCCCAGATACATGTATTGTCTTGTAGGGTAAGAATTTTTGCTCTTTATGAGGATGAGGAAAATGAAGTTTTGGGAGACTTAGTAACAGACAGGTCTCTCAGCTTATGGCAGAGCTTGTGTGCAACTCTTTGGACTTAACCCCTTCATTTGACACCACATACAGCCTCAAAAGTACGGCGGCAACTTCCGAGAGTGCCAAGCCTTTTGATTGCCTTGTTACAAGCCCCTTGTAACACCTGAAGCAATGAAGTTGCATTAGCAATTAATTCGGCAGTAAGACTGCCACATCCTGTTTTGTTCTACAGCAGGGATTCTCGACCTTGACAATTTTGACATTTGACATCTTGGATCTGGCAATTCTTTGTTATGGTTGGCTGTCCTGTACACATCCAGGGACTCTACCCACTAGATGCCAAAGCACTCCACCTCCACTTGTAACACCCAATTACTAGATTTTCCATGAGTAGGAAAGGACAAAGTTAGTGCCAAATAAGAAATGACAAACTGTTCTATCACTACCATTTACGAAGCACTTCTTGGCAGTTAAGAGAGTTCCAACATTGCCACTTGCTAACTGGGTAAACAAATGGCTTAGCCACTTCTTCATCTATAAAAGAGGGGTAAGGACAGGCCCTGCCTCATCATGTAAGAGCTAAATAAGATCATAAACTAGAACAGCCTATCTATTGATATATACATGTTGTCTACACAGCAGTCTATGTGTGTGGCATCTAGATGGATGATGGCTATAATATGAAACTTATATCATGATGTGTTCCAGTACCCTACTAAGTACTTTGCAAACAGTGCCCAATTTAATCCTTAGAAAAATTTCAGAAGAATGCAAGATTCTCTCTGTTTTACAGTTGAGGAAGCTGAGACTCCAAGAAGCTAAATCTTCATGGACTTCTCCAAGGGTATTAAGGTCAATGGCTAAGTCAGGAATCAAAACTAGGTCTCTCTTGCTCCAGAGACTCTGTGTTCTGGAACAGTGCCATTTCCACAGAAGAAAACTGAGGCACAGAAAGAAAGATGTGTGATCTCCAGGATCAGACACACACACAGCAGGCAGCCTTTACATCACGGGGGAAAAACAGGTGATGACACATAGAAGGATTTGGGATGCACAGGGAGTGCTGTTTATCGTATTCTAAGCAGAGTGGAATCCTTGAGAAGTTCCTTAGCATCACCCAGATGGGGAACCTTGGATAAAAGCTGGATGCACAGACTACAGAGGAAGTGTTATGAGCAGAATCCCTAAGGCTCTCTTAAGTACTTATTCCACCTTGAGTGATGGACTTATTTGATTTTTCATAAAATAATCCAGGGTCTGATGTGGCAATAGCAAGTAAAGCTGCTACCTGCGACACCAGCATCTCCTTTGGGCTCCAGTTCAAGTCCTGGCTGCTCCACTTCTGATCCAGTTCCCTGCTAGTGTACCCAGGAAGGCAGCAGAGAATGGCCTAGGTGCTTGGGCCCCTGCACCCATGTGGGAGATCTGGAGGAAGCTCCCAGCTCCTGACTTCAGCCTGGCCCAGCCCTGGCCATTGACGTGACTCAAGGAGTGAACTTGCGAATGGAGATCGATCTCTCTCTCTCTCTCTCTCTCTCTCTCTCTCTCTGTGTCTCTCTTCCTCAACCTTCCTCCCTTCCTCCCTCCCTCCCTCTCTCTCTCTGGCTCTCTCATTCTACCCCTCTCTGGCTCTGGGTTTCAAAAAAATTAATAAATCTTTTTATTTATTTATTTTTTTATTATTATTATTTTTTTTTTTGACAGGCAGAGTGGACAGTGAGAGAGAGACAGAGAGAAAGGTCTTCCTTTGCCGTTGGTTCACCCTCCAAT